GATCCCTGGTCTGCTGAACCAAACCTCCAGGTCCCTAGACCAAATCCCTGGACACCTGAACGGGACACATGGACCCCTGAGTGGAATTCACAGACTCTTTCCTGGACCCACACCCAGGACCCTAAGAGCCCCGGATATTCCTCCGGAAACTTCAGACATGGACTCCCTGCCACCCTACCTCCAGCCTGGAGAGTCTCCTTCCCCAGCCCATCCTCCTCCTGGACAGTACACACTCTTCTCTCCTTCACCCACCTTGCCCATCCCCACGGTCCAGCTCCAACCCCTGCTTCCTGACCCCACTGCTATCACACCCAACTCTACCCGTCGTCTCCTAGTTGCAGCCCACTCTCACTTCCGGAATCTGTCTCAGGAAGAGTAAGGTACTCAGGCACTGCCGACATCAGCATCGCCTCCCAAGTACAATCCCCTTACTCGGAGGAGAGGCCCTGGGAGACAACTGCAGCTACACAGGCATACCTCATTTTAGTGCGCTTCATTTTATTATGCTTTACAGACACTGCATTTTTTACAAATCGAAGGTTTGTGGCATCCCTGTGTTGTCAGATGATGGTTCGCATTTTTTAGCAATAAAGTATTTTTGAATGAAGGTATGTACATTGCTTTTTTTTTTTTTAAGACATAATACTATTACAGTTAATAGACTACAGTATCATGTAAACGTAACTGGGAAACAAAAAATTTGTGTGACTCGCTTTATTGTGATATTCACTTTATTGTGGTGGTCTGGAACTGAACCTGCAATATCTCCGAGGTATGCCTTTACCAGATTTCCTGCTTTCACCTGAAACCCAAAGCCCTGGTGAAGGGAGACATGCAGGACAGAAAAAGTATAATTTTTTTACTACATGCCATAAAACTACAAAAGCTATTTTTTTTTAACCATTAATAATGTTCACCAGAGCAGTTAGTTACCTCTGGTCTATTTTCTGCACAAATTTATAACTTACTATTTCTCTATATACTCCTTTTCATATGATAATTCTGCAAAGGCCTGGCCTGACCTAGCTTCTGAACAGAGGTAGGGATTATGACAGAAAAAAGCTTTGGTTTTCTGCTCAGAACTAAGGTTAGTCTCTTTACCCCCTTTATTATCTATCATTCTTAATGGGGCTCTGATCTCCTTTTCTTAGGAGATCCTTACTCTTGACAAATGAATGAGAAGTCTCTCAGAAAAGCAGTTCCTAAGCAATAGACAAAACTGAGACTGTATAAAGACAGAATAAAGGAGAGGACCCAAAAGCTACCTGCAAAGCGAGGGGAAGATGTTCTTCTCATGGGCAACAGATCCCCCCTCCCTGAGAAAAAGCTAACAGGAAGCTTTGGAGAGCCTTACACCCCAGGTAAGGCTGTGCAGACGACGGGTCAGTCAGACAAGATGAGACCTGGATGTGACAGCTGAGCAAACAGCCAGCACTTCAGCAGCTCAGCAGGAAGCTTCACCAGGCGTGGGTTCCTGCCTCCCTCCTGTGGAGGTCAGGGGGAAATGCAGGAAGTGGCTTGAGTCAGTCTCCTAGAGCTCACACAGCAGGAGGGACAAGCACAAGTCAAGTGCAAGTTGAAGGCTCATTTCCCAATTCCCGGAAGTGTATAGTATCTAAAAAGCAACGCTGTGTGACACCATAAACTCTGCCAGGGGATCTCTAGAAAAGAAGCCCAGGCTTATGGGGCTTTCTGAATAAATGCCACCATGGTGCTTGGGAAGCAGAGGTTTATATTGCCCCAAGCACTCCACTGCAAGGTCAACACTGCCTCCAGAGGTGTCTATAGGAAAACTAATGGAAGCTTTTTCCTCTCCCACCTCAACTCCCCAAAGGACAGGAAAAGTTAGCATGTAGCCAGAAACCTAGGGTTCCACACCTAGGGTTCCAAACACTACCACAAAACCCCAGGGTCATTAAAGGCATTCCAAAACAGTAGAATGAAAGCCAGTATGTCAGGAAATTTATGCACATTATCTTTTTTAACACTCACATCTCTATAAGGTAGGTATTATCATCTCTGCTTTATGGATGAGGAAACAGGCTCAGAGAAGCCCGGCAAGTTCCCAATGGTTTCACAGCCTGTGAACAGGAAAAGAAACACCCTAGGATGACTTAGTCTGGAGCCCATACGTTCCCCAGTGTGGTGCACTGTCCAGTAATATCAGTCAGTGACTCTATTTATTGGAAAAAATTTCCAAGTCCTTAGGGAGTACACATCAACAGTAAGAGTTCTGAGTAGAAAACCAAAGTTCTTGGTGGGGTGACCAATTTAGGCATCTCCAGGTGTCTCCCCCCACCACCCCATGGACAGAACAGTTGCCATGGAGAAAAAGTCAACAAATGCACAAAGCTCAGAAGTGCCGTCCAAATCTCGGATGGTGTCAGTTTCTGCATGGGAGAAAATCAGTTCATCCACACTACAAATTCCAGCATGGAGTCAAGAGAATAGTAAATGGAAATTTTAACTTACTGAAATATTAAAGTAGGTTAAATTTAATGATCAAATGAAACATTTTATGGCACATGAAAGCCAGCACCCAGTACAAGAGATGCCAAAGGGACCAGAGACAAAGAATTAAGGGTTTTCAGACAGTCAGCTGAGAGACAAAGATGGCAAAACTGCAAGAAGTATGTAGCCAGAAAGTTCCAGGCATCCAGTACTGGCATTTGACTTACCCTAGGGCAAACGTAAATAACCCACGGGCTTCTCCACTGGGAACTAACTTGCCTCTACTGAGCATCTAACCCATTCCCAAATCATTCTATCAGGCTGATTCAGTCCCTTCTTCCCTTTACAGAAAAGACAAAAACCTGTTACTACGAGGACGCTCTTATCTCTATTCAACTGTACACCAGTTCTCTTTCTTCTGCCACCCCATGGCAGCTAGGACAGTCTGCTACACTACCCCGCAAACTATTAGCTACCCTGCAAACTGTTATCAGCAATTAGGTTCTCCCTTCTCCAACCTAAATCCATCCTTCTCCAACCCCTACAAAAAAATTTGACTGCACGGAAGAGGTTCTAGGATTCTATAAAAATTCATCCCAACTCCCACTTCGTCTCCTACTTCCCTCTCCCCTCACCCCCACCCCACAGTAAAGCAAAAGAAATACCTTTCCCTCCCCCCTACAGAGGCCATTCATTTTCAACTCATTTCCCTAAATACTATTTCTAACACCTCCTGTGAAGACCTGAAAATGATGGGGAAGGAAATACCCCAGGCATCCCAGCAGGAGGACCAACTCTCAGGGCAAAACGGGGAGATCAAAAGAGACAACTACTGGGCTTCCCTGGTGGCGCAGTGGTTGAGAGTCCCCCTGCCGATGCAGGGGACACGGGTTCGTGCCCCGGTCCAGGAAGATCCCACATGCCGCGGAGTGGCTGGGCCCGTGAGCCATGGCCGCTGAGCCTGCGCGTCCGGAGCCTGTGCTCCGCAACGGGAGAGGCCACAACAGTGAGAGGCCCGCGTACCGCAAAAACAAAGAGACAACTACTTAATACACACTTATGATCTTTCTGGATTGTTACCCTGAACTTCCCAGGGGAAACCAGAGTCCCATGTACGGTCTGAGACCTCAAATGCCAGGCTGAAGACGCAGCTCCGATGCTGGAGTCCTTGTAAGCATCACCATTTCCTCAACTTTGCTCTTCCCCCACTGATAAATTAGTGACTGCAGTCAGACTGCTGTATTGTCCCAGGCACTGGCAATGAACTGCCAAACCTCATTGGTATTGCTGCCCTGTCTACTTCACTGGTCTGTGAGGCAGCTCCCTGTTCAGTGTCACTGGTAAAAACCACCACCACTTACCCTCCCTGCAGGTCACCACTAGAATGTAAAGCAGAGAGCTAACTCCTCCACCCGCTGCCACAACCACCAAATCGTTCTTCCTCTCCTCTTCAGAGTTGTGTCCCATGCATGTGTCGAAAAGCCTCATCTCAAAGCTTCCATAAAAATGACGAACATTTCCAGGCTATGCAAGCAACTCATTCAAGTCAACGTGATCTGACTTCCTGAGAAACTGAAAGTGTTAGAAGCTCCTTGCCTATTCAGGATTCTATGCCAAATGGGTGGTGCCCTCAGGAGCCAAAAGCACAACACTCTCTCCCAAACAGAAAATCACATTGGAGGATAAATATTGGGGGTAGTCAGCCAGGAGACAGAGATAACCCTGAACCCCGATACCAAAAGGTTGGAACAGATCCTACATTGACATGTGACCATCTGGCTGTGGGCCAGAAACATAATATACCATAGGCAAACTGGAAGAAATGACTTTAAAATAAATGGAAAAAACTTTGCTAAAAAAGAGGGGAAAAGAGTCTGAAAAAGTAAACTTTAATTTAAAAAATCATATACATAAAACAACTTCTGATTCATTTTAAGCTCTCCCACTGGATCTTTTGCAGGCAAGTCAGTTTCCCATTGAGTCCAGACCTCCTAAAGATGCACCCACAGTGGACAGAGAGCCAGCCCCTCCTGAACAGGTGAACAACAGCAACTGCTACTCAGGCTTGAACGAACGTCCATGACGTGCGTGACTAAGCAGCAAGCCTGGCTCCCTGGGCGGTTCAGAAGGCCAGTTTCTTCATCAGCAGATAAACTCGGGAATCCACTTCAAATCCATGCAGATTGTTGGCATCACCCTGCAGCCTCATGAGCAGGCCGCCATAGGACACGTAGGCAGAGCTGAAACAGAAAACCCAGTCCCATGAGTCTGAGCTCCATAGCAACTGTTACTCAGCAGCTCTCCAACCCAACCTAAGAAAAAAAAAGGCATCCTTCTAGAGTATTGTCATCAGGAACCAAATCGTTCTTTATATCGGCAAAGGTGGAAAATACTCCATGCCCAGAATAAAGGAAATGGTCAAATCAATTAAGATATATCCGTTGACTGGAATGTTATATAGCTATTAAAATGTTTAGGAATAGCTTAAAATTGACATGGGGAAACATGTTTTACATAACATTAAGCAAAACGAACAGAACAAAACATTGTAATAAACAACACGAGCTCAAAGAAAAAAGTACAGAGGAAAAAAAAACCCTAGAACATTCAAGAATGTTTATGTAAAAGATTCCCTCTGGTTATAGAATTATAGGTGACTTTTTTCCTTCTTCACGTTACTTCTCTGCTTTTCAAATTTCTTACAAAGGGCACATGTTGTTTTAATAAGATTTTAAAGAAAAGAAAAAAATAGTTGGGCAGAGAAACCAAAGAACTACGGATTGGATTGCAGAGTAGCAAAACACACACACACACACACACACACACACACACACACGCAAACAAAAAGGCCTAGCAGTTTAATCACTTATGCTGCATTTAGTTCTTGGAGAAGTAACCTTCCTTGGCATTTCACACAGCTAGATTACCAGTTTCTCATTTGGACCACCAGGCCCTGAGGTCCTGACAGAGGGCAAAGTGAGCAATCTACATTTCAGACTGAAAATTTCCCAAAACAGTTTCTTTCCGGGTCCCACCTAGGTCTGAGGTGCTTGGGGAAAGAAACCCAGGAAGCCTGAGCATGGTCCAAATTTTCAGAGCATAGTCCAAATTCTCATAAAAGGGAGGGGGCGAGGGCTCTCACAAGACCGTGGAACTTACAGGCGTGTTGCTGCTTCAGTAGAAGTTTCATCTCCCTCAATCCTGTACACTTTCCCATACATTACATACTCAAATTGGTCAGCCCTGTGGAACAATAGTGGCAGTTATTCTTAAATGTAGTTAACAACAATAAGAGGCCCTTTAAAAATGGTAACTGGTAACTAAGTGCCAGCATCATAACAATAGGCACTTTCCAAACATAATGTCATTTAGTCCTCAGAGTAACCCTGTGAGCTGGGTATGACCATCGATATTTTACTGATGAGAAAACTAAGGCTGAAAGAGGTTAAGGTTGGACTTCCCTGGCGGCGCAGTGGTTAAGGATCCCCCGCCAATGCAAGGGACACAGGTTCAATCCCTGGTCAAGGAAGATCCCACATGCTGCGGAGCAACAAAGCCCCATGCGCCACACTACTGAGCCTCCTCTCTAGAGCCCACATGCTGCAACTACTGAGCCCCCGCTCCCTGCAACTAGAGAAAGCCCAGGCGCAGCAACAAAGACCCAACGCAGCCAATAAGAAAAAAGAAAAAAAGAAAGAGGTTAAGGTTATTCAACAAATAGGTGGTAGAGCTGAGATGTGAACTGAGTGGGGCTTGAAAGCCTCTGCATCACACCAAACTCTCTCCCAAGACACAAGGCCCACAAAGCCTAGGCCATTCAGTGGTCATTTCCTCTGCCATCAAAAAAAAAAGCTACAACTCACACTGTAATCATTGCTTTGGATAAACACCTGAATGTCTGAATTCTTAAGTGCAGCAATTTCCTTAAGGTTACATAGATTCTGCTGATAATCATTTATTTTATGAATTAAGTAAGGGTCTTTCTATACCACTTATCTACTTAGTCCTCAGGCATATTTCAAGTACTCCCTGCTCCACTCCCTCACCTGGAAGGCCTATCATCTGTAGGGTTGTATTCACCATCATCCAGAGTACCATCTTCATACAAAGTACTGGCTATGACCAACCGGAACTTGTCACCTGAAAAATAACAGCAGCATCAGAGGGTGAAGAACAACTGAAATGGCAAAAAGCCTCCTGCTGTTGTTTATGTTCAATACTTACCCAAGTCTACAGGGTAAATCTGAATGTTTACATCTAATATGAGGTCCATCTTGAAAGATTCACTCTCACAATGCAGTCGAGACACTGGAGGGAAATAGGGAAAG